GCTTTACCATGAAACCCACTGCATGATCTTAGGCAAGTCACATGTTCTCAGCCTTGGGGAAGGCAATGGCAAGTCACCTTTGAACAATTTTTGCCAAGAAAACCTCATTATAGGGTCACCTTCGGGTTGCCGTAAGTTGGAAATGACTTGAAGGCACACAACAGCAGCAACAAGATCAACAATGGGGTATAGGTCCATTCCCCCCCCCCCCCCCAAACACACACACAACCTGTTTTAAAAGAGAACCACACCCTAGGGATACAATTCTTCCATTTCTATGGTGGTGGTAGTGGGGTCATTTTTTTGGGGGGGGTTTCTTTTTTGGGGGGGGAAGGCTTGGGAAGTGAGTTCTGGGGAGCCTTAGAGGCTACAAAGGCAGCATTGACTGAATATCTTAATTTTAAACTTTCAGTGCCTAGTGGAACTTTTCTTCTGTTGTGTCAAAGATAGGGGTATAAAGAAAAGTAAAAGAGCTTTACCAAAACTCTCCTACCAATGTTGACCAAAAGGAGTGTCTCTGTAGCTAAGCTGCTTGAAAACTTTAAGCCCCATGATGCCATGTGACACTACCTGAAGCAGAACAGCAACAATGCAACTGGGGAAGTTTCCTGACATTTGCCCCATCAATTGGTTGGTACACTTTGCCTCTGTGGATTTGTATGTAATACTTTAAAGGTATGCAATATATAGTAGGGCACATTTTATTTTAAGCATTTAGAATATTTCCTCTATAAAGTAGTTTTTCTTTTATTAAGAAACCATGATACCTGAAAGACAATGATTGTTTTACACAGATGGAGACTACAAATTCCTTGATGCAATGTGATTATAAGTTTAATCACATCTGGGGCTCAGATTAAATCTTAAAAGCAACAAATAAATGAAGTGAGGTTGAGGATAATTAGATTTGGTGAATAGGTTTTCCAGTGACCAGACCTAGTCACACGATTCATCTTGGAGCTTTGTATACCCTTTATTTCCACATATGTTCTTACTAGCATATTGTGACACTTCAGTTGTTAATAAGTGGCTGCATTGTGAGCTTCTATAGACTGCCTACTGTGTGGAGGTGATAATGTTTGTCAGAGTTTGGTCTGAGAACTGAACCAGACCTCCACTCAGTTGTGAAGCTCAGTGAATGATATTGGGCAAATTATTGGCATCTATTCTAATCCACATTACAGGGTTAAAAGGCATGGAGATGCATGAAGAAAAGCACAGTTTCAGCCCCTGGGATCTTGAGTTAAAATGATTTCAAATAGTGGAGGCTGAGAAAACTCATGCCTGAGATGTCAGAATGTAAACATTAATTAGTAGAATACCACAAGGATATATTTTGGACTACAATGCCTTGTGGGACTTCTTGGAAGTGTGTGGGAAATGACTTTGTAAGGCGGGAGGTAAAATAAATTTCCTCCTCACCTTTCCAGTTTTTTAAAATTCTTTATTGGATTTTTTATTAGATTTTAAACTTTCTTGATTAGATTTTTAAAAGTGTTAATACAAAGAAAAGAGAAAAAAATGGAGAATGGATGGTGAAAATATGAACATGAGCTTTTAATGTAATGTGGACTAACCATGACTGGAATCTTATTCATTGGTCTCAATCTGAACTCTATATGGACTAGACCCAGATCAACTAGACTCAGATGAAGGGCTAGATCTCCCCATATGAGTCTGCCCAAGTTTTAAGGGTAGTCACAATCAAGGGTTGAAACAAAACATAGGTAAATCCAATTGATTCAATGGGTCTTCTCTGTTGCTGTTGTGTGCCTTTAAGTTGTCTTTGACTTATGGAGATCCTAGTGCAAATCTATCATGGGGTTTTCTTGGCAAGGTTTGCCACTGCCTTCCCCTGAGGCTGGGAGCATGTGATTTGTCCAGGGTAATCCAGTGGGTTTCATTGCTGAGCTGGGAATCGAACCTTGGTCTCCAGAGTCATAGTCCTGCTGGCTCTCTCTAGTCAGGAGTAATAATAGGATTTAGGCCTGCATTTCCAAAAGCACATTGTCCTGAAGCTGATGTCTATGAAATACATGTTCATAAGTGATTAAAATAGTGATCTCTTCTTATTATTGAATGCTCATTTTTTTCACTTGTGTTGTACAAGCCTTCCAGGTGAGCAAAACATCTGGATCAATACTCAGCTCAGGGAGTATTTCTGCTGGTTGAGAACAAACACTAGCAGTGCTTTTCATGCCGGACAGACAGTGAATCCATTCTGGGTTTTAAAGGACCTGTCCAAGCTGTTGAACCTATTTGGGGGACAGAGCTTGGTATTGGGATCTTTCCTTTAAAGTTTGGATTAAAACCCAGAGCTTATTCACCACCTCATTAAAATGTAAGTCATCAGCCTCTGCTGACAACTACTGGATCCACTGCTGCAAAATGGAAAGCGATTCAGAGATGATGATGATGACAACACTGGTTACCAGTTATCAAACTGTTTCTGGGCACAATTCAAAATGTTGGTCAGGACTTATAAAGCCCCACATGGATGAGGTCCAGACTACTTGAAAGGCTGTATTTCTCCATATAGGCCATCTAAGTTTGAAGATTCTCAAAGGCTTTCTCTTGGATCCATCAACTTCACAGGCACGTGTGGTTAGGATACTGGGCATGTCCTCTGGGTGGATGCTCCCAGGCTGTAGAACTCCCTGCTGTGGAAGACTAGATTGATCCCTTCCCTGCCCTTCTTCATTTGAACAAGCATTTGGTGATTAAATGACTAAGTGGAAAGGTCTTTATCTGGGTATGTGTGTGGCACTTTGTATTGCTCTTGTCATAGTTTTAAATGATTTTACATTGTTTCAAAGTATTGATGTTTTAATATGGTAGTTTATTTAACTGTTTTAAAAATGTTTTTATTAAGAATTTTTAATTCAAGTACCTTGTTTTAATTCATGTGTGAGCCACCTTCCCTTTAGGAAGAAAGGCATGATCGAAATTCTCTCTCATAGCAATCATATGGGGAAAGTTTCTACTTAAGAGAAATACCTCTGAAAACAATGGAATAAATAGATGCCCACACTATAGTGAAAAACCATTCTCTTAAAACATATTTAGAATTTGTATGCATATAAATTATCTCTTGTCTGTCTGTCTGCAGGGTTGCCCTCCATTAAAAAAATGCCTTGGACAGTGGTTTCTGGAGCTCAGGGATGGGGCTGCAAATGGTAATTTATTGAGTTTATTATTAATTGTGGTTCATTGTCATGGAGAGGGAAAGGGACCAATTTTGTGACTCATGTGCCAAAATAACTTGACTGCCTTTGAGTACTACGCATCTTGATTTGGGATTGTGACAAGATTTGTGTATGTGATGTGTGTGTGTGTTTTGCTGCTCTGCCTCAAGATGCTGTACAGTTTCCAACTGCTTGCTCTTAGGAATCAGCCACAAGGGCTCCCACTGTAATGAATGAATAAATAAATAAGCAATTAAAGAATACAAAGATAAAAAAAACACATTTAAGAGCACAATAACATTCTTAAGAACTTCTAAAAGCAATTCCAGTTCTGCCCTTTCTCACCTGGGAGAAATAACATTGCATGAAAAAGAGGAGCAAAATCCTTTATTGCAGACTGTGGTGTCTGAATGGATAATGAATTCTGTCGCCCACCAATACACACAACAAGTTCTTCCCTATTGGATAACATAGGTCCTTCCAGAATCTAGATTATGGAATATTCAAAACAATATAGAACAGGACCACTAGAGGGAGGCAAAATATCGAAATCCTTGGTCCTGCTCTCTTCCATTGAATTCTGTCCTTTGTAAATATCATCTTAGTCAAAAATTCTAACAGATTAAATCATGTTACTTTGACATATTTGTTCAGATGCATGATGTTCTCCTTTCCTTACCAGAGTTGGCTAAAAAAGATGCTTAGTTATTTCCATGTCAGTTATGTTAAATACTCATAGTTTAATTAACTATCTTACTTAGGTGG